AGATACCACCAGTCGTGATGCACCATCGACCAGACCGCACAGTGCACGATCCCGCGAATTGCCACATAGCTCAACGTGACAATTAGTGCTATCAGTGAAACGCGCAGGAACCACCACGCGATTGGACAACCAGCTGGTTCATTGTTGCGCGCCAGTAAACCGTAGGAATGTTGCGAAATCATCGGAAAGATGAAACGTCGCGCTGCTACGTGAGTCTTTGTTCGGCCGCGTTTGTCTCAAACGCGATGTCGTACAGATACACCGTCGCTGCTGTCGCGTCCGTCGATTGATCTCGCGACGAAACACACCGACTCGTTTGCATCGGATGACCGAGCGGTCGCGTCGCTCATTGCGCGCCGCGACAGCCGGTATATGATGTAGACCGGCGCACTATCGTAAACAGGCCGCTAGTAAGACGATTTGTCGGTGAAATGTCGCGCTATTATCGACGATGGTGCGTCTCTATCGTACCGTCCCTTAATACAGCCGATCGTTTTCGCAGGCAAATCGATTTGTTCTCAATCGAATATTCGGCGCGCGGTAGATCAAGGGATTGGATAGAATTCGCGCAATCGTTGCCCGTGGTTAGCAAGAAGTGTCGCGATAAAACATTCAGCGCGGTAGTAAAATGAGCGGCAACATTATGGAGCATCTGCACAATCTAGCGCCTCGAGCGTTTTCTATGCACATGCGCGATAACGAGGCCACCGCACAGCGGTCGAGTATCGAAATCGCGCGCGATTTGTTGAATCTGACCAATCCGTACGCCTCCCGAAAATCACCGGTTTTGAACGCAGTGCGCTACATTCAGACCGCGTCGCTCGACATGCTGCGCTGTCACGGCAAGCGCATACCCACCGTGTTGCACGATATGTACAAGACGCTACTGCGCGATGGCGATCGTCGTGCGTGTGTGAGATGAGCATGGTGTTCAACATGTACGTGCAATCTCTGACGAGACTCACATTCTACAAGGACGCCATTCAGTTGGGCACCGGAGTAATGGCGTCGACGGCCTCGAAACTCATTCCGCTAGATCGAGGAGTTCGCGCTGTATCCATCACCATGGAGGACGTTTTCAACGATAACGAGTGGTATCGCGAATCGTACGATTCGAGCGTCAACGGTACGGCCTGCGAAAATCCGTATTTTCGACTACTCCGTTCGGTGGTGCTGGAGGCACTTCGCGAATACGTGGGCAACGATTCGCGATTGTTTCGCGAGACACCGACGTACGAATCAACAGACACCACCACTGTCGACACCTACGTGAACATATTTGTGCGCAATCGATCGCTACAATCGCCATCACGCGAGATGGCCAATCTGTATGGCGAATCGCGCGACGAGACTCGTGCTGCTGCTGCCGCTACTACCTTGGAGCAGCCCGATGTCGAATCGCACGACATCAATAGCGATAACGATGATGCTACGTGCAAACGTGCAAGCATGTGGGTAGAATCAACAGCAGAGTCACCGAACGCCAATGTGCGCAATACGCGCGACGCTGCGAGCGATCGCGATTAGGATACAGCCGTGATAATATCGACATCGCACGACGCGTTCACGAATAAAGACGGATTATCGGCAGCTGGCCTCGTTGACGATAATGACGCGTTATCGTACATCGCCTCGACGACAATCGGCGCGTCCGAATAAGCGCAATCGGACGCACCGACGAAACGTCGCCCAGTGCACTTCTCGACGCAAACGCGAAAAACGCGCGCGCAATGATCCGGTCGAATTCGATTCGCGTCGAAGCGCTATACGCACCAAATCCGGCGCGACCGGTGACGATTCGGACTACGGGAACGATGAGCATCACCAGCCGAACAAGATCATCGCGGACGATCGTGACGTCGACGAATATCTGAACGATATTGAACTCGCGGCGACAATCATCAACGGCGACGAACAATGGCGACCCATGCAGCATGTTAACAATCAATATTCGTCGTAGCGCCGATGCCGAGCATTGGCGCTTGGAATAGGCTTCGTGTTTTTGGGGTTGAAATGGGTACAAACAATAAATCGTACATAATGCACAATATATCGTTGTTTATTTTATCATCACCCCGCCTGCCGATTCGCTAGCGACCTTTCGTACGCTCAACGAAAAGCGCCAACACATCAACGGTAAAATGTGCGTCAACCAATACAATACTTGTTCCCAGTGTTGACACACCGGTGCGACAATATCAGAGTCCAATTGATTGGCGCGCAATCGTTCGCACACTTGCAGCAAAACACGCAGCAACGACTCGGCGATGGTAATCTGCGAGTCGATCGATCCTCCCGTCTTCGTAGTTGCGCTTCGCAACGGCGTCGCGGCGGCGGAAGGTGTCGATGCGGCGCCGCTGACGATGACGACAATTTTCAGAGCTGGCGCGTCGACTTGGTGCGATTCCAAATGACAGCACGTGTCAGGGTCGCAACAGTCTCCACAACCGGCGAGTAATCGCTCGAGTATCGAGTGCTTCACGAGAAACGGCGTGACCGCTATCGCGTTGTCCAACTGCGACCTCGCTGTTGCGCCAGTTCCTCAGGTCTCGCAACAACGCCGGCACGATCGTGTTCAATACGCAACGAATCGAGCACAGCGAGCAATTGTCCTCGCTGATCGTCGAAACAACGTTCCCCGTGGCAATGAGCCGACCGTTGAGCCAATTGTGCGGATGCAGCGAAATTGTTCGTTCCATGTGCTCGTTCTCGCTGTGTAGCCGAACCAGCGTAAACGAGTCGCACATGAACGGCAGGATCCGCGTCAGCCAGTGCACAATGTCGCGCCAGTCGACTCTACCGTCGATCACTGTCGATCGGTGACAACCGCGCGTGTCCTCGTTACTGTCCACTTGATGGTCGAACATGTCGATGATCGCAATGAGCAATTCGCGCGTCACCTCGCACGATTCGCGCGACGCGATCGTCTCGTTCGCTCGACAATCGCGTCTCGTGGCCCTGTTGATGTCGTACTCGTCGCGATAATGCAGCACAAATGTACGCAACTCGCAGTGTTGCTGCACTATCGCCTAAGGATAGCGCAATTGAGCCTCGCGACGATTGCAGTACTTAGTGGCGATCGCCATCGGGGCCGTTATCAATTTGAACGCGTCCTCCGGTCAGATCATGGCGCACGGTTTGTAATCGCACGCCGATAGATCCTTCTCGTTGATGTATAACATCGCCTCGAACAGCAACTCTCGCACCGCGCGTCTGCGAGTACAGTACATGCACTGCACCTGTTTGGCCGTACGAACCATACAATGATGCGATATCTCCGTCAACACGCAACTGGATACGGCGCGCGTTTCTCGCGACATTGCAGACACTTTTTTTGCTTTCCTTCTTGAACAAATGGCCACGCGAAAGAATCGTATTCCCGAGACGACAAGCCCCTCTCGTGCGTTTATATTCGCGCGAACGTTAACCCGTCTCCCTCCTTCTCCACATCTGGGCGCGGACAACAACGCGTTTGGCATTATTACTTGGCGCTAATCGCGGCGGCTGTGTCGTTAGAGCCCCCGCCGCCCGTGTAAGAGGAAACGAGCATGACTCTATTCAGCGCGGTATTGTTCCGGTCGACTTTAGTGCTGACGCAATAACCATCCTTTGGCGTCTGATGCGTATCGTGTTGTATCAATTGGCGTCTACACGGATCGGTATAGAGCATCGGCAATGTCGCCATCGAGCCGAACACACCGACTTGATTGGTCGATTTGGTGGTGCCGAACGCGCACAGATTGTCACTGTACGTAAAGTGACCGCGCAGAAACACACCGTACGATGACGGCCCGGAGAGAAAGCGATTCTCGTTCAATCTGGTGTACGACTCGCTAAACAGTCGCACAATCATCTGCGTGAGCGTGGTGCACTTGGAGACCGGCACGCCATGAACCTCGCGGGTACGATCGGACACGTGAAAGATGTACAAATCGGCCGGAGTTTCGCGCAAGATCCAGCTGTAATACTCATTCCACACGTTCCAGTGCATAATCAATTGATTATCCAGCAATTGATCGTCGCGCGACGGTCGCAATTTCTGCGCGAAACTCGAATGAATGGTGATCAGACGATGCAGATAATTGACGTGTTGCGTGTACACAGTCTCCCAATTGTTGACTCCGTACGAGATGAGATGTCGTTCGAAATTCGACAGCATAATGTCTATTAGGTTCGCGCTCAAACAGCTCGAAGAACGGGAAGCACGCGGTCATGCGATCGTCCACCGGTCTCGGCTCGGAAGTGCAGCAGCACGGTTTAATCCAGAGCACCGCTTTTCCCTCCTCGTTGAGCACGTAATACGAAGCGTTCTGATACGTTAGATTGAATATGGCGCGCAGGTGATACTGACAGAATCCGTTTATCACATTGATCGAATCGTGACAATATTTCAACGGTGCGAACAAACAGCAGCTCATGCCGGGACGTTTAGCGTTCTTTTTGCACGCGTCCACGTTCGACCACACGATCGGCAGATAACGACTCAACCAGACGGGCGCTACGAATTCGTCGGCTCGAGCCAATCCGTCCTGCAACGATCCACTCGGCGAGGCAGGATCCGACGTGGTGCTCGAAAGCAGCTCCACGTCGTCCATCGCTTCGAACGTGTCGTGCGTGGGACAACCCTCGTCGAAACGCACTTGCAAACGCTCGCGCTGTCGTTCGCGCTCGGCCATTGTCCCGTGTAATTGTTTTTTTTGGTTACCGCGAGGAAAAGCACTCAATGGCACAACTCGTAGCGGGGAAAAAAGCCTCTTACTAATCGTCACAATAGGGGGGAAGGTGGCCCTGCTGGTAACCATCAACAAAAGTGTCGCATCGTTTTACGATCTATTGTTCTCTGTAGTCAAGTGATGTCGATCTCTCACACCATTATCGCTACCGCTCGATCTGCCCGTTCCGCCGTTAGTCGCCTCGTCCGGATCGCAATTTGTTGACTACGAGGAAAAAGAGCAAGGATGCAATGAGCAAAAATTTAACGAATTTTTCGATCGAGACAATCAGTAGGAGTACGGTGCGGTAGCGGCGGCGGCCGCGTTACCACCGCCGCCAGTGTTTCCACCGGGAGGTGGTGAGTTATTGTCGCGATTTCCATTGTTCGAGCCACCACCCGTTCCGCCACCGCCACTGCTGGAACTACCGAAACTCCCGTTCTGACCACTGCTACTGCCGTTACCACTGTTACCGAAGCTGTTACCGCCGCCTCCGCTGTTATTGTTACTGCTCATCCAGAACGCTATAATGACAATCAGCACCACCACGATCACAAACACGATCGCCATATTCTTCCACTCGTGAGACGGCATCGTGACGTCTAGGTTGTATTTCTGTCGATTGGGCGGCGCAACGCCGAGCTGTCAGACGACCGAAAAAAGATCACTGTGTCACGCGATACGCACCCCCAATCGATATGCAGCACCTTATAGTGTTGGGCGTGAGGTGCAAAAATCGAGACGCGATCCACTTTGGTGCATTATAAAATCAGGCTCTGAAACGTGAAGCTGGTCATTCGCAGTTTGCAAGCATTAACCGACGATTCTCTCTCTCTCTTCTCAGCGTCGACTAGTGACACGTCAGACGCAAACGCTCGAAGAATCCGACGGTATGAGCAACATCGAGACCGATTGGGCAAATGGCGCAATAATGGGCAATCTACAACTCGACGATGCGACGAGCGAGTTCTCGCCGGTGGCGAGAAAGCAGCGCGCCTCGTACGACAAAAGACGACAGCACGGTCGCTCCTCAATGAACAAGAACAACACTACCGATGCGACAACGGCGAGAAACACGGTCGTCAGTGGTGGTAGTGGCACGTCCGAACAGCGGATCATGCGAAAGCGCTAATTCCGCGATGGTGAAAATAATTGCGCATCGGCCGACAACGAGCGGCGAAAACCAGAACGATGCAACGACGACTCCCCGGTGCGACATGTTTCCTCGTTCATCGACGACGAGGCGTCTGAGCACGAAGAGGATGAGGACAACGACGAGGCGTCTGAGCACGAAGAGGATAATGGGAGCACGCGTTCGCGCGACAATCGCAAATTGCTCTCGTCAAATGCGACCACGCCGACCATCGAAGATATGGACTCGCTGTGGAATCAAGTGGCCGATATGCAACCGAGCACCAACGATGTCGCCGAACTGAACGATCTGTATCTGCGAGGTAAGCCAGCGACGTCAGACGATGATCGATGTTCGTTCCGTATACGCTCTGTTGTCGCGTCTCGATGTTGACAAATGTGTCGAATTCGGCCATGGATCGGACGAGAAGGAGAAACTACGCGCCGCCGTCGACGAGACGCTCTGGTGCATGTAGCGGTTTGTGCCGTTGGCGAAGAAGCGAGCTGTGGATTTGAACGTTTCGTCCAACGCGCTCAAAGAACTGACTGCCCGATACGACGAGCATTCGCGCCACTCCGACAATACACCGATCGTGACGAATGCGCAAATGACGGACGAGACGAACAAGGTCGCCGCTACGGATATTACGATCGTGGGCGAGATCGTCAATTGCGCGACGATGACGCTTCGTGCTGCGAGGAGGATATCGGTAAAGCCGACGCGCATTTGATGTGTCTGATCGGCAACTTGGATTGCGCGGTTCGCAGATGTCTCATTCGCATCGCTGCGCGAACGGTAAACTGTCCGCTTCGTCCGGAATTGCAGCAAGAGGATTCACGCGCTGAATTTTGCTGGATTCGCTGAAACACAGCGAGTACGCAATGACGCGCATTCGCTATATGTGTTTCGTCGAGGGGACGGCCTATCTGAACGGATTCTATCTGATTTCGATAGCTCGACGTATTCCGCGAGGTCTCAAATTTCCCACCTATGAGGATCGCTTCGGTCACCTGAACGAACTTGGGCGCCGTTATGTGCGCGACAAGATATTTCGCGGTAAACCGTTGCCGCGACAATTGTGCGTATTCTTCAATCTGTCCATTCCTGCAAAACTGCGCCGAATTCAACGCGCTGCGTGCTCTGCCGAGCGACGTCATCTGGAGACTATGCGCCAAGACGACATGGCGAAGAACGACA